TCTTCTCTGACTTCCCTTTCTTGGCAAAGATTGCTTCTGTCTATTTACATGAATTCAGGGGATTTGGGGGCTCAACATCCTCCTTTCCCGCAGCTGTGCAGTGGGAGCTTCCACTCTTGGTTTGCTGTTTTTTCTTCTTTCCTTTCCTCTGTTTTAACCAAATCTGGCGAAGGAAAGGAAGTGAAGATGCATACTGGTCCAAGGGATGCTTCTGACAGCATGAAGGATAGTACTATTTGGATGTCTCTGGCTTGAGACTTGTTTCCAGCAACTTTGCTTAAGGAGTCTGCCAACCTCTCTTCACGTGTCCTCTGTTTTCTTCAAACAAAAGCTGAGGTTTTTATGGACTATTTTAGGATTTTTATATGGGGCAAGGTGATTTTCTAAGCAAAGGGTTTTTATTAAACATTGGGCTTCTTAGTTTGGGCTTTATTTTGGTTGGATTGTTTTGCTTGGGTATTGAGCTATTTCCTCTCTTATGCTTATCCACATTTGAGCCTAAGAAAATGGGTTTGAGTCCCGAGGCCCCCAAGCGACCCGAGACTTCCATTTCTCGGCCCATCAATGGGCCCCATGACAATTCGTTACCATTCATACCACAACCCACTTAAGCAAGTCCCGGGCATTTGAGTGGCTTGGGCCCACTTAAGCTTGTAGTGCGATTGAGTGTGAAATAATAATTTCCCGCTTGGCATGGCATGTTGCTTGGCATGCTTTTAAATATGGCGTTTGATAGGATAATTGGCATGGATTTGCAGAGCTAAATGCATTTTATAATTTTAATCTCAATTCCTAGCTCGACGGATTTTTTATTTAGCATGGCGTGCGGAGTATGACTCGTGTATGTCATACTTTCATGTGCTCCAAATCGGATCTTTTTCCAATAATATATCGTCTTGGGCTAGAAATTTATTCGGCCCCAACCATGGATTTTTTGGGCCTCAACATTAGCCTCCTTAATTATTAGGGCCATGGATAAGTGCTGGAATGGGCCGAATAATTAAACTCGACCCAAAAATCAAATTTATATGCTCCAGCAACGATTTGTGGTTTCCCAATCTGGATTGTTTTTGGTGTTTTGTAGAGATTGCTTTGGATTGCCAAGAATTGCTTCCCCATCTTGTCTGAATTTATGATTATGCCACTGAGTTTGCATGTATTTACATTTCTGCCCCCAATCTTGCTTGAATCTACTATTCCACCACCACCTTTGCTTATATTTCGAATTCTGCCATGACTTTTGCTTGGATTTACGGTTCTGCCATAATTCTGTTTTCCTCATTTGGTTTCTTCTTTCTTTTCTTTCCTCTTCCGTGTCTTCTTTCTTCTTCTTCTTCAAGAATCCAAACCCGTGGATACTATTCATCAATTTAGGAGCTCCATTTCGGAAGTTCTAATAAAAAAACTTACTTCATGAAAGTTGTTCATTTACTCGAGGACTAAAGCCTGTAAACTTTTGAGAATTTTCTGAATTTTTCTGATGCCTTAAAATGGGTCCGCAGCTTCTGTATTCATCAATGGCTGGTGAGTTTCTGCAGATTCGGTTTCTGCACTTGTTTTTAATATCTACTACTCTGGTGACTGTGCTTGCTTCATGAAATTTGCTTGAGATCGGGTTGTTTACAACATATCCAAAATTGAGAATCATCCAACCATTGTAGTGTTCTCTGCCCTCATTTTTCTAAAGTATGCGTATGGATTGATGTTGACGCCTTTAATGCATGCTTGTTTTCTTGAAGCTTGAGTTCCTTTGTATTTCTCAAAATTTGTGAATTAAGTACTGAATTCTGTGGTTGAGCTTGTGATTTAGTGTTTCAGCTTGGTGATAAACAAGACTCATACAAGCTCCCCTTGAATAATGCATGCCAAGTGTTTGTGATAAGTAACTCGTAGTAGCTTGCTGGCTGTTTTGTGAACTTTTGAAAACTTTCTTTTGAATCTAAGTTGGAGCTTTTGATACATGAAAATAGACTTCTCAATGGTTGTGTTGGAACTGGTCTTGTGTCATTTGAAGCAAAAATGAATTTTTGGAGTAATTTCAAAGTATGGGTTAAGGTGCTGGAGCTGTACAGTTTCTGCTGCATAGTGTCACGGGATGAGCGAGCGGCGCGGCGCGGCGGAAGCGAAACACAAATTTCGCCACTCAAAGCACACCCGTGCGGCCTAGGTACCCTTTAGATCCCAGTCAT